GGCTCCCGCTGTCCCCGCCGTGCCGCTGGGGGCCCTGTGAGCCCGGTGCGGCCCAGCGGGGGCTCCTGCGGCGGGAGGGGAGCGCACTGGGGTGGCCCGGACAGCTGAAGGGCAGGAGCGTGGCCCTAAGAATGGGGGCAGACTTCCCCTGTTTCTCCATTTTTCCCTGTGCTGCCCCCACTCTTTCGGGGCGTGTTTCGGGGCTGCTGGCAGAAATGGCATACTTGCTAGACAGCAGGGTTTAGAGAGAGATGCTCGAGGCCAGCTCTGGCAGCGGGAAGGAATAAGGCAGATGCAGGAGCGTGCCTCTTATTGTTAGGTCTGAAATTTATCTCAGAGCGTTTCTTCATCCCACGCTGAGATGCTGTCATCTTCTTGCACTTAAAATGGGCAAAGAGCTTTACAAGGCTTTGGTGTCACTGATCTGGCAAAAGAGTGTCTGCATGGAGTTCCCTGCAGAATTGTGAGCCTCCATTGTTAGATTTTTAGGAAGGAATTGCATTTTTCTAGCAAAATTTACTATTACATATTGTGTAAACTTATGCTGTGCATAAACGTAGCATTAATTGTGCTCAGCTGAGCACATACGGGTGCGCAGCTTCCTCGTGTTCTGGTTGTATCTGAAACGTACAATAAAAACATATCTGCCTAGATAATGTTAAAATGGAAACATACAATTTTAATGTTTGCCTATAAAACATAATTATTTCAAGTTTTACTCTTTTACCTTTATTAATCTGTAGATAATGAATGTGGATTAGAAGGGATATGTCCTTACTGCTTCCAGTTCCTGGTTCCCGATAGCCACCGGGTGCGTCTCAAACCAAAGATGAAAGTGACTCCACAGATAGAGAAGATTCTTAAACGAGAGGCGAAGAACCATAAACTTAGTATGAAACAGACAAAGCTTTTGAAAAAGTACAGGGAGTCAAGAAGTGTTGTGGTAAGGATATTTACTTGGAACTGCCAAATACCTGATACTTCCCTGAAATCTTTCAGTGGCATAAAAAAGAAGATATGGAAGTCTTTCTTTTAGAAGTGGAGCTCACACCTACACATTTCTTTTTTCATAAGCATATAACTCTTCCTTTCTTTTGGGATAACTTCTATTCATAATCAAAATTTTAAAAATCTACCCTCCACAATGGAGACATCATGAGCACAATGACGAGAACGGTAAGCTTCCCCCCCCCCCAAACAAAAAAAAATCCAACCCCACATGTCAGAGAAGCTACACAAACAGCTCTGCCCTCCCTGTGATCTCTTTAGCAGCAGTCTGGGTAGACTCTGCAGATGTCCAAGATCTTGCTGAAAATTAAGTAATTTCTTCCTGCCAGGAAGCTCTGGCATTTCCACTGTCAGCTACTGTATCATTTGCATAGTTTTGCAAAAATGGCGGGAGTGGCATATTTTTGCCTGTTCCTTTTTGCCTATGAACGTGGTAGAACTAGGACCAGGCAACTCTGCTAGATGCAGAACCTTAATAGCCATGTAGATCCTAAAATCCATTAGAATCCTTAGAAATCCATTGCTAAGAATACCCCAAAATATACCTAAGAAGAAAAACAACATGCCATTGACTGAAGTCAGGCTGGTTTTGCCAGTGTGCATAGCTTGACATCTACTGCCTTTGTTTCAGCTGTGAAGAAGAGCTTGAGTGACTGATAGATAATCAGTTTTTTCAGTTTTATGTCTAAAATATATTTACAACTTGCAAGCTTTACTTCATTTGTCTCAGTAGACCATCATGGCTACATTGGATTATTGTTACCTTCTGTACAAATTGAATTTTTTACATTTGTATGAATACTACTGTTTATAGGAAGTCTTTCAAAACTAAACCACGTAGGTAATTTGAAGAAGTTAATGTTGGTTTTGAGGCTTCAGTTCTTTTTCCTAAAATTACTCGGGAATATAAGATTTAATCACTATTTTTTATAGTAATTACTATTATTTGAAGAATAATAGTATACATTTAATCTAGTGTTGCGAAGGCATGCACTGCTACTATTAAAATGTTATGTAAATGGATGTTTAAATAAATGAGACAGCACCCTATTGTGCCCAGCAGTTGCTGGCACACTTGGCATTTTCTCAGATGAGAGTCTGCTGGCTTGGGGAGTAAAATCTGCGAAACCAAAAATTGTTAAAGAGCCAATAACACAAAATTAAACTGAGGAAATATGACAGAGGTTCTCAGCTGTCGGGGCAAAAAAAGGCACTCCAGAAAGGCACCCTTGCTATTATATTACTCTCCCAATTGTCGATCATAGTTGAGCAGCAGAAAGGCATCTGAGAAGCTGGAATCTTTGCTTTATTTTTCTGGGATCACAAATCCTTAGTGTACATGAAGAACTGTCTCTTCAGACAACTGATAAACAGTGTCCTGTGGAATTATGGTGGGTTCTTAGATTTATTCTGTAGCTGGCGAGGTTCGTGGGACGCGCTGTGCATTCATATGAGTAGTTTAAAATTCAGTTTTAAATAGGTCCAGTTTAAACTCTGGGTAATATTCTAATCTTGGGGTGTGATTACAGTTTGCTGCACTTGTGTTCTGCTCAGTTCTGTTTGCATTTGTGCTTGTGGATTCTGATTTAAGTATTTCTGGTCTTCAGTATTTAAAATACTGTCAGCAACTGACAGCTTTCAAAGTTAGCAATGTAGGTCCTTATAATCTAATACCTGAGACTTCCGAAAATGAAAATTCGAGTGTGGTTGGAAATAAAACCAAGCAACAATATGACAGGTTGTGCCTCTGATACCTTTCTTACCAAGTAGAACTTGATTTGAGAATGCTTCTGCCGTGAAAAGACATACAACATTATGAACTATTTCAGGGCTTTTAAAATTTTTGGAGTTAACTGTATATGCAATTCAGGGAATGGAAACTAGCTGTGCCGTGCTATGATTAGTCCACTAATTCCTGCACTGTAAGGTGTTCACCTCCATTTATATTCCGTGGAGTGCTAAATCATCACGTGATGCTGGTTTTTTTTCCCCATCTGAATCTCATTTAGAAGAACTAAAAATACATCAATACCCGAGCCATATAACTTAATGCTCCTTCTCTCTTTTAGTTTGTTAGGCTGACAAAATAATGTCTAGAGACAGTCAAAACGCTTAACTGAAAACGTTTCATTTCAGCATTTCTAAATAATTCTTTCTAAGCAACCTGAATTTAGGTAAATTTACACACTTTGAAATGAAGGATGGTTTGGTATAGATGTTTTCAAAACTGTTTAGACATTTTTGTGACATTCTTTTGAGTATGTTTTTTAACCAGAAATGTCACATAACTGTTTTTTCAGTCAGTGTAATTGTGTGCCTCAAAAAGTTGTCTGGCTGTATTACTCTCACGTCATGTAATCAGAGTGGTTGCCATGGCAGTCAGGGATATTAGGAATACCTGACAGTCTCTGTGACTGTCTGACATGATCTGTTCTGATGCACCTCTGCAACATACTGTGCTGCTGGAAGTTCCCTGCAGCCTAGAAGTAAACAGACAAAGAGGAAGTGCCCTTTGTTTAGAACCTCCTCCATATTGTAGTAAGTATTTTTGCACTAATAGAACGCCTCTTCTTCGTTCACTAAGACTTGTTGCTATGAGTTATGGATCACTATTTTTGAGAGTTTGGTAATTTAAATATTTTATCTCAAGACTCCCTGAAAGTGTGTAATATAACTTAATTGGGGGTAGAATATGCTAATGAATTCAGATCACACTGTACGTCATGGTTTTTAGCAAAATATGAATACCCCTTATGTACACTCAAGGTATCATCTATCCAGCTCAGGTGCTGTTTCATCTTTCTGTTTTGACAGGGTGGTTTTCCATATTTCACTGTACAACGTTACATTCGGAGTTACAGGTCTCGTGAAATTACTTGCTAGGGGACTGGAGTCATTTCTGGGTAAACCCAGAGGATGTGTTTGGCTTAAGAAGCCTGAATGAAAATACTAGGTGTAAAGTATATGTTGCTTTTTAATATCTCATGTTTCACTTAAGCAAATACTTAATTTGTGTCATGATACTTGGAGAATAGTTTGGATAATTCTTACAATGGCTTTATAAGATAAAGGTGGCAAGACTGAAAGAATGGTTGATATTTCCTTTCTTCTCTCCATAGCTGGTTACTTGCAACTCGTGCAACAAAACAACAAGACATTATGGTAAAAGCAGGGATTTTCTGGCTACCAAGACACACAATTCTGGTACTCCAAGTATTAAATCTAGCCTGAGGACACCAGATGTAAAAATTCAGTCTGCAAACAAAGTGACACCTGTAAGCTGCAATAGGCTGGGATCTAAAGGGAACACTCCCTCGTCTCTTCCCAGGTACAAAGAGGCACTTTGCCGAGTAGTGTATTACGTCTTGTTGGGAAAGGGTGTCACATACTGATTTCAGATCAGTCACTTAATAAACTTTAAATTGATAACTAAGTATTTTTCTTTAGTGGTCTGATTGAGTAGATCAATTTTAACTTTCCAACCTTTAAAATCAAAGATTCTAATGAAAAGCGACTGCATGCAAAGAATGCACAGTTATGTTTTTGTCATTAATGTGAAATGTCTGGCTTAATACTTGCATAACGAAGTTCTACTTCTGACTGCTCACTTTCACATGAAAATACACTATTTGCCTTCAAAATTTTTCACTCAAAATTGTATGTGTGCACTTCCATAGTTACTTTATGTTAATTCTAATTCCTCACCTTTAAGACATTTGAGTCTTTTGTTTTTCAGAACGTGTGTATCCGGACAGGCGACAACCAGCTCTGCTTCCAAGACTCCCCGAAACTCCAAATTTCACTTTTCTAAGCTAAAACGGATGCTTAACCTAGAAGAAAAAGAGAAGAGCCAGAAGGCAGATTTGAAGACCTTCTTGACTTTACTTTAGTTATACATTATTTCAAAGTAATAAAGATTACAGCAATAAGTATTGTTCCAGTTTTAGTAAATCGACAAAGTGGTTCCTTTAAAACTCAAGCTGACAGCGTGTACCCTGAGAAAGCGCAGACCAAGCTCTGTTTCTAAGGGGACTGATTGTCCGCAAGAGGGAGATGAGAAAATAGCCAGTCTAATGTGCTTGGGAATCTTGAACGTGTTTTGCAGTCTCTTAATGGCCCAAGAATTAAAAGCCAGGATCTGTCCTTTGAGGAAGCTGACAATACTGGACCCGTCAGTGGGTCCAGCAGGACCCACAGGTAAGTTGGCAGACCTGGAAGCGGTTTGGGGGTGGGGAGGCTGCAGTTTGCTCCACTTCACTCTCCCACTATTTTTAAGATAATGCATCACAACAGACTTTAAAAGATCTCATCCCTGCTTTGCACGTTTGAGTAAAACAAAGACACTTTCCCCGGCACTTTCTGCAGGTACGATATTTTCAAGGGTCTAATGTAGTGTCCTGTAGCATCTCTGTCTTTTGATACCTGCGGTAATGTAAGCACAGCCTTTAACACAGCCTTTACAAAGGTTCCAAAGTAACTTACTCTTTAAGACAGTGCTCATATACAAAGAGAGAGAAAACAGTGTATCACCAGATTAAGTTTCTTCCTTTTCTTAAGAACGTTCTCTGTGACTGGGGCTGCAGGCCATACTGGTCCCAGGATAACGCAGAACCTTGTAAAACTGCACTCTAGTGTGGGATGCTCTCAATACTGACTGACAGCTCCAGGCTAGACTGCTCCCAGCACCCTAATTTGTTACTGCTACGAGAGTGGCACGGTCATAAAGAATATGGGATGCTTCCTTTCCAGTTGCTCTGGTGCTACCAAAATGGGTCATTTCTGTCTCGTTCAGAAATGACTAAGGAGGGAACCTCTTTCTTAAATGTCTTTTGGTTTTATGAGGCTTCAGAGTTGCTTCCTTCCTGGACTTCAGTCTGGAAAACTAGTTTTGCCCTGGACAGTAGTGAACTCGCTGCACCAAAGCGTTTTGATGCAAATAGACAATTGTCAAGGTTAAAGCCATCTCCACTGTCAGATTTTGCATTTTCAATTCGGCACAGAGAGAGTAGAAAGTCACCGTTCAGGACCAAATTTATAGCCTGCCCTGCGTATAGTCTGCAGCGACAGTTCTGCAAACCGTGCTTCAGATTTCCCCTCTGAAAAGAGAATCAATCAGTTAAAAGGTCTGTATTTTCCTTTTTTTTAAATTCTAATGAATAGTTTCCTTTAAGTGTATTCAGACTCGATGAGCACCGCTTAAGGAATAGGGCCAGCAAGGAAGTTGGCAGACCTGAAAACAATCCAGGGCAGGGGAGAATAGTTTGTTGCCAATTCTACTTACAGTCTCAAAGATTGGCATGTAACCTTTTTATATCTCCTGTATGCTTGCACGGTAACTTTGAAAGGTTCACTGCCGTTTGTTTCTTAGGTACGTGTAGGACCAAATTAACTGTCATTCGTGGATGAAAATATGAGTTTCATCGTTCCAAATACGAGTTTGGAGTTAGGCCTTTTCCAACGTAGAACTTGGCGTTAATTCACCTGTTGTTGCTGTATTTATGATCCAGTCCTCTGGAAGAATGCTTCGATCTTGTTGATGGAGAATGTGCATTATACAAAAGTATTTGAAAAACAAGTTTGCAATAAATTTTTGTATGAAAAGTACACACATTAGGTACTCTACTGCTGTGCTTCCTATGAGGCTTACATGAAACCAGCATGGGCATCTGCTATGTTTTAAGGTGCGCCAACATGAATGTGTTAGATCAAGAGCATGCTTTTGAAACAGATCTCCCAATTGTCCCTGTTTACTGTGCTTTTTATGCAACACCGAGTGGTCTCGGAGTATATGAGTCACATTCCATTTGGATAAAACTACGGGTAATGGATAAAAGACATGATCCGGGGCACAACCAGCGTGCTGCGAACGCTAATGGGCAGTCTGTCCACAGGATCACAGGAGAGCGAGTCTGAAGTACGCATCTCCAAGAAGTGCGTTGTGGATGCCAGGCACTGAGCTTCAGGTATTCTGCACTCCAGGTGTATCGCTATTGCCACGTGCGATTTGCTAACGTAGACAGAGTCTTGTCATGCTCCAGACAACATCTTTTTCTCTGTAATTACCAGAATTGTCAGACGTGTCCAGATGTGTTGTTATACGGGGTCGCTATTGCAAGCTATCAGACTTTACCGTGGGGGAAAAAAAAATCATTCGGCATGTGCCATTCCTTGTTTTACAAGCGTGCCTCAAAATGCTGGGCAGAAAGTGTGTGGTATTTTCTATCTGAAGTGCTTTTATGTTATTCCTAAGCCTCTAATACAGGCTTTTTCTGTTACTGGACCTTCATAGAATCGGTGTATTGAAAAACATATCTATCTATCTATCTGTAGACACACACACACACACGTATATACATATCTCTATATATGATGTATATAGGTATATACATACATATACACACATCGAATGTATAGATATATACACACATACACACACGCGCGCGCACGCACATCTGATGCACTCTTCCCTTCAGAATATATTACGTACCCGTGCTTGATGAAACACTGAAGGCTAATTGTTGCCTGCAACGGAGTATTGCTGAGCCTTCCCGTCAGACCTCTGCCACGCAGCGTTGCTGGTTCGTGTTTGAAGGGCTGGAAGAACAACTCTTTATAGAGAGGAAACGGCCTCACTGACTTCAGCGAGGCCAGGATTTCACCCAGACTTCGTAAAGCAAGACCAAGAAGGTTCTCTGTTAAGCAGACACCCCTGCTTACAGGTATTTAATTACAGAGCGAGAGTTATTTCCCAGCACATACAGGTTCTACTTACGCAATGGTAGGTATATCGTTGACAGCGATAGCATCATACCATATATCGAAAACGTTACAAAGTGTGTCGTAATATAACCAGCTCAACTAAAGCGTGTTTTATTCCGAAATGTCGGTTTGAGCCATTTTTCCCATTTTCGAGTATTGGGAACCTCAAGCTGGCACATCACAGCTGGTTCCCTCACGCTCAGCCCCGCCTCTGAAGAAACGCAAACTTTGGCCAAACTAGATGGTGTGTGAACAACATTTCTTTTTAAGAAATCTACAGTTTTGGAGAGATGACCTCGGGCTTTTTAATGCACTGCTTCCTCACTGCAAACTCACACAAAATACAAATACAGAGAGTAATAAACTTCAAAATTAGTATCGACCATTTCCCCAGCATCACCGTGAGATTTTGGTTGACTCCTAAGTACGGGGAGCAGTTTAGATTAAAGCCGTTTCACACCATGTGATTGAGTAGGCAAGCAATAAACAATGATTTCGAAGATGTTTTTACAACAATGTTTTATTCTATTAAATACGAAAGAGCGTACATATAGGTGTTATTCTGAGGACATAAATTACACAAGGATTACACGTTCTGTCAGAAAAGCACAATAATGAAACATCTTTACATTTCAAACTTTTCTTGTTAGCTTTTAACAAATGAGTCTATTTCTGTTGCAAACAAGTAACGAGTGCTATTGAATTTTTGCAAATTCCCACAAAAACATCATGCTTAGTAGGATACTTTAAATATTGTAAAGATGAAATCAGAATTAGATTTCTAAATAACAAGATGGAAGAGATTTACTACTTAATCAAGATAAATGACACACTGAAATAGGAGCCGAGACAAAATTGGTCATTCATTTAAAAAAAAAAAATTCCACTTCAGACACTACATTTGAGTCTGCTTTCTTTACTTGCAGGAATAGTCACTGTGATTATATGCATGAGTAATGAGCAGAACTGGCCCTAAATATTTATAAATGTAACCGTCAAATTTTAGACGTGCTGGTTTTCTAGTTCACTAATTTTTCCACTGAAAAAAACCCCACACCCATGAATCTATCTGCTTACGTTTCAAAAGGTTGAAATTCAGCTCTTCCGTAGAGGGCCAGTCAAGCCTACGTATGATTTCCCTGTCTTCCACGGTCATCTGCACAGGGGGCTACTGCATCCTACGTATGTGTTTTGGGTCATCGCTGAAGTACCAGACTGAGTTACCACCGACTTGTGAGAGCAGTATTAGTCTGTGGAAGTCCTAACACGTCGTCTTTTTAGACGTCGGGTAAACAGGAATGTAATTTTATCGTAACGAAAGCTCTCAGCCTGATGTTCAGAAGACTACTCGGATAAAATACGTAAGCAGCATGTAGTTTGGGTTGTGTTGCTAGGGATTAACTGTGGTGTTTTAATATATTAATACAAACATGAATAGAGTGAAACAGACAAGCTAATGTTACTGCAGGCTATAGTCTAATTTTCAAAAGGAGTAATGAAACACAATTTCTAAGAATGGTAATTTTTGTAACTAAGGAGTTGTTAGATTTATTTTTAAAACCACAGAAGTGGGGTAATATTCCTGATATCTTTCAAAACATTCTGCAAGAACACAGCTTGAGCCTGCAAACACTAGAATATACAAGCAGTCCCAGTGACCTCCAAGGCAAGCATTCTCATACGGCAAAGAGCTGCAGGAATCTCTCTGCTTTTTTCAGAGAATGCTCAATAAAGGTGCAACATAGTGAAGCAAATAATCTAATTATTATGCTTTTATTATTAGATGAAAAATGTTCAGATATTTTATAATTGTGCCTTTTGTAGGGTGGGCATTCTGGTTTGAGTAGAGTCAGACCACGTTAGAAGAGACGGGCAGGGTACACCCACGCATTTTCTTTCCCAGGGTGGTAACGCCCCAAAGCAGTTCCATGGTATAATCCCATCTACAGCTAAAACATTGTGCTGCCCAGTTTCACACTGTTAAAGAACTGTTTTGACAAAAGTTTACATTTGTTTTGCTTTTCATTTCCACCCAGGCATGGATTTTCCACCCTTTCAGCTCCTAGGCACCCTTCCTAACCCCGCCCAGCCTCTTTTCTTCCTGAGATGTCAGAAGTACGTATGTTAAGCTTTGGAACCTGAGAATTGGGAGGTATTTTTTGATTCTACAGGGCTGCATTTGTATCGTACCA